GCGAGCTGTAGTTTCACTGCAGTTTAAAAGCAATGGCTTCCGCAGATCATCAGCCACACACAACTCCAGGATTTTTTCCTAAGTTTCTGCTGCTGGGTACCAGCATATCCTTATTTGAGTGATACGGCTCTGAAGTTACTGAAGAAAAAGGTGATTCCTTTTACAGAATCGTAAATTCTCACGATTCCTTTTACAGAATGCCTCCAAGGAGGCATTACACCTTGGAAACACATGAAAAAGAAAACACTCAAGTCCTACACATCTCAGTGAGACTTTACTACTTCTTTGGGGAAAGAGCGAAAGTACCAAGTAGGTGAATCACTGTCCAAAACTCTTAACAGAGTGCAAAAAGGAAATTTGAGAACCATACAAAATAAATGGAAACTTCTCAAAGTTTTCATCTGATTTTCCACAAGCTTTGATAGCAGTATTAGGGCGAGGGAAACGCATCTCAGCAAGAAACTATATAACATCTAATCTACAGAGATGCAACTTCAAGCTCTTGCCAGCCACGCTGAACTATATGAAGGCTGCATCTCCCTCATTTGAAAAAGATGAACTCTCACAGCAACAGGAGAGTATTAGGCACAGAGCAGGCTTGCAATGAAGTGCTCATTTCTATGGAAGCAATAGACCATCTGCTTAGCTCTGCTACTGCTTAACATGTTCGACAACCAACAATCTTAAAAAAAACAACTCTAATTTAAAAAAATTTTCTAGACGGTTTGAACATGTTTTCCGGACTTAGACTTTACAAAAAAACATGGTACAACACAAAAGGACAATTCTGCTACTACTGGAAACTACTGTGACAAGATGATCTGTTCCTCTACCCCCGCCAAGTGATAATTGTTCAAAGAACCCTTCTGTTCTTTTAAGCAGATTTCTTAAAGAACGTCAACCCAGTCAAATGAAACTATCCTTGTAGTGTCGTCCAAGAAAGCAGGGCCATAGTGCCACAGTTACAAGCAAAATAGTTACAGGAAAGGAGTCTGGTAGTGAACGGAGCATAGAATCATAGAGGTTGGAAAAGACCTCTAAGATCACCGAGTCCAACCATCAACCCAACACCACCATGCCCGCTAAACCATGTCCCTAAGCGCCTCATCTACTCGTCTTTTAAATACCTCCAGGGATGGGGACTCCACCACTTCCCTGGGCAGCCTGGTCCAATGTTTCACCACTCTTTCAGTAAAGAAATTTTTCCTCACGTCCAACCTAAACCTCCCCTGGTGCAACTTGAGGCCGTTTCCTCTCGTCCTATCGCTTGTTAGTTGGGAGAAGAGACCGACCCCACCTCACTACAACCTCCTTTCAGGTAGTTGTAGAGAGCGATGAGGTCTCCCCTCAGCCTCCTTTTCTCCAGGCTGAACAACCCCAGTTCCCTCAGCCACTCTCATAAGACTTGTTCTCCAAGCAGAGATATATACAGTAGCATAGAAGAGAGGTTTCCTCAGAGTTTTCCAGAAGATCTCAGATAAGTCAAAATCACAAAGCAGGAGCTCTAAATGATTCTGAATATGCAAATTGCACAGTCACAGCCGATGAAGACTTCAAATCCTTGCTATAGTAAGTTGTTGTATCTTTAATTCACAAAACCTTCTCAGGGACTACTCTACTCCCTATTTCCAAAAATATTCTAGGCTATCAAGAACATGCTATATACTCCCAAGAAAACATGACTGTGACTTTAATATCTATTGTTTAACTTGTACTGACAGGTTGCTTCTTCCAGAGGATCACATGAAATCCTTTGCTCACGTCTCTATAGACTGAGGAAGTATTTTGCTTTAATCTCTCCCTGCCAATGGAGGAACATTTGTCTTGATGCCAGCACCTTATGGCCTTCTGACACTGAGAATCACTTATTTTCCATTCCCTTTTAAATTGGTTAGGGGTAAGGTTTATCCACCGCCTTTGACTTATGCAAGCACATGCATCATGAGCTTGAGTTACCACGCTCATTTCTGGTGTACTTTTCATTCTTTCAAGAGCTGCCTTAAAATGGCAAGTCCAGCTCAAAATTAACAATATTGGCTTATGATGCTCCAGATGAAATCAATCCCAGTTATTTCTGAGAGCAGGTGAAGGGATCAGATTCTGGATTTCTTTTTCTTCTTCTTTTTCTCTTACTAGAAAGAATGCTTATAAAAACATACCACAAGAAAGAAAAACAGAAAAAGCAATGGACTTTCCTTGATTAGTCATTTACTAAAAAGGATTAGAACAAACCATCAAGGAAGCAAGGTCTTGTCCAACAAAACTGGTCCCAAAACATAAAGGGTCACGAGTGCTACACACTGCATATAGACACACTGAATTGAGAAAAACGGGCTTCTGAGCTGTACCTGAACAAGGTTAATCAGTGATGCACATCACTTATTTTAAACATGATAAAATCTTGGTTTAAAAAGTTATTTTAGATTTTTTTCTGCATTTGTATTTCACACCTCTTTCCTTCCCTTAGGATATATTGCTACAGTCACCTCCTAGAGAATTTGCTTCCAGCCTCGATACAGTCCTTCAAGCCTGATGGCAGCTACATTTTAAGCCGTTCAGTCAAGTTAGGCACATTCGCTATTAGGCAGATCAGCTGCCTCACCACTTTTATTGCTGCTCTTCAAATCTTTTAAGCTGTATACATTAAGTGGTAAACATCAGGGAACAGGAGGTAAAAAACCAAACTAACCCACATTCTCCTTCAGCAGAAATTTCAGTTTCAGAAGAACAGACAAACTCACTGAAATGTTTCTTTACTTTTCTTAAAAGCTTTCATCGCAACTGGAGCATCAATAAGAGAAAAAGCTAGCACACAATCACAGTTGATAATCCTATTAGGACAACACACCGGGGGTGGGAAGAGACTGGAAGAGGATGCCAATCCTCAAATGCCTATTAAAGAGAATGGCAAAAATGGAGAACGCTGCTGCTTGTCGGGAGAAAAATCAGGGAGCAAGTAATTTGTTCCAAAATGGAAACACAAAACATTGAGCTTGCTTGCTCTCTTACTAAGAGAAAATTAAGACATAAAGAAAGAAAAACTTAAAAAACCCCACAACAAATAAATAAAACACACAATCCTTTTAAGCTTCATCTTATTCAACATGAGATGAAGCCCTGGAAAACTCCAAATTTCCTATTTTTTTTTCAAGTTGGCCAAGTTTTTAAAATTGTTTTCTCTTACGTGCTAGCACCTTCACAGAAACACCATTTTATCACTTATGGTCTGTCATTAAATAGTCCTACCTTTTCAGTTTCTCCAAACAACTTTGTGTCCAACTTCTGAAAGCACTAATTTTGCTCTAATCTTTTGGAAATGCATCACCAGTGCTGAGCACAGCACTGCATACAAGGACTCCCTAATGATTTGCATAACAGGAACACTTCCACTATTCTTTTGCAACATATTCCTTGTCCAAATTAACTTTTACTTTACTACTTGAACATACGCTGAGAAAGTCCAGGTCGCCTTCCCAAGCTGGTGAATCCCATTTGCAGCTGGCATCAGGCTAAGACTGAAGTCCTTGAAGAATGGAATTTGTCCGAGTGCTGGCCTATTCCTTACCAGGGGTGGGTTCGTTTAAAAGAAGCCAAGACATCACAGAACCTCCCCCACCGGGTTCATACATACTCTGTCAAATGAAGACCTTAAGCAAGTCCCTCTGCTTCGGGGCAATTCTACTTGAGTTAGTTCACATAAAAAAAAATAAATCAGCAGTTTCATCACATAACTGCGTAGTGGCTAGGAAAAATCTACTCCTACAAACTTAGATAACCATAAGTTTATAGAAATAAGCCAGATAATTAGAATTTGTCACTCTTCCCGCAAATTTCAAAGAAAAACAAATGGAAGATAAGCTGAATTTCTTTCTGTGCAGACCAATCCCCTCCACACAGCAAATTTAGCCAATTTGGAGGCTGGAGACAGCTATATCCACTTTCACACGACCTTCACTCAGACCACAAGCATCTCTTCCTCAACCAAAGGGATCTCCTTTGGTGCCGAGAAAATGCTTTTTATATTTTTATTTTCAAAAATTAAAATGAACTACACAGTACTCCACAATGATGTCAGCATTTCTTCAGAGAACATGATTTCTTCTATGTCAGGCAATTTTTTCCATGACTGCTAACACATTAATGAATTAACACTTACATGTTAATAAACTACAATGATAATGACTAGCGATGTATGAATAGACAAAATATCAGAGATTAAATTGTATTTTTCTACATATCAGAACAGGATGGGTTTGCCATCAAAGTTTCAGGAAGGAACTGGACCGAAGCAACACAGACAAGAGATGAGGCACACTGCTATCCAACTGCAAGACAGGAGGAGCAGCAATCGTAACACTTCTCTAAGCTCACACCTGGAAAATGAAGGACTAAAAAGCAATGACTATATCAAGCAGATATAGTCCCAGATACGGGACCAGAGCAGTGCCCCACGACTGCAGATACTTCCAGGTGTATATATTCCCTGCCTCAATCTGCAACGGCCACCGAATTAGACTTCTTTCCCAGACGCTGCCCTTCCCTTTCGCAGAGTTTGCATTAGCTTGGCAAGCCATGTGAAATTTAACGTTTTCAGATGAGTTCCTCTATATTTGAAACACATTCACTGCACAGCTGTGGACAGTGGTCCTTGACAAGAGGACCAATTGCTACACCTCTCCCTTCAATCTACAAATACTTCTCTAATAGTTTTTTTTGCAGGATTACACTACTCTCTTCTAATTCACCCTGCTTAAGATACTATCCAACTTTTAACTTCAAGGATGTGTTTTTCAACAAGTGCTTTCATTTCTGATTACATGAGAAATACTTTTTCAATTATCTTGCTTTCATGATATCACCGGTGACTGAAACGGATAACTACAGACTCAAGAAAGTGCATTCTTCAGTTCTGTTCCAGAAAAGAAAATACATTTGCTAAACACCTGTATGGAGAAAAAACAAGTGCAGTAACTAGAATATATTAAATTACATGTACATACTTTAGTCATTGCTCCTGTCTGTGCTGTGTTCAGTCCGGTGTGACCAGCCATCTGTGGAGATACTTGGGTTAAAGTCTCTGCCAGCACACTGCCTGCATTCCCCTGCATGGCAGGGGCAGAATATTGCATTCCTGCTCCCCTTCCTCTTCCAGCTGCCCCAAGAGATCCATTCATTACCTGCCCTTGTCCTTGCTGAGGCTGATTCATTAAACTGTGACCAGAATTACTGTTGAGAAGGCTCTGGTGTGTCTGACTGAAATTAGTATTCATACATATCCCAGGTCCAGTCTGTGATGTTGCAGGGCTGCTCGTCACCATCCCCACTTGTTTTTGTGCTTGAGAGTTCAGAGTTTGTGATGCAGGTGTGGTAGGTCCAGAGGTGCTGGCTGCTTGCTTTGCCAGGCCTGAAGCAGAAGAGTCTCCCTGGTTTAAAGGGCTCTTACCCATAGCACCCAGATTACCAATATTAGCACTGTTCGGCTGCCCTTGAACTTGACTACCAACTCCCTGCTGGACAGGGCTATTTGAGTTCACATTTCCAATTCCTGGGTTTAAGGAAGAGCCACTGCCTCCCCTTAGAAGTTCGGAAAGTTGTTTGTGTTTGGAAGCTGCATCTGGAACAAGGTTCCCACTGCTGTTTAAAAGGCCCAACTCGCCATTGGGGATCAGCTCATCAGGAAGATCATTTTCCAAGTCAAACAAAGATCCAAAATCTACAAGTTAAAACAGAAACACAGGTGAGAAAAACATGACAGACAAGTGACTAAAATATTCATCTATACTGCTTTGTACTAGTCGTAAACAATGACATGCATTAAGGTACATCTATACCCAAGACTCAATATTGCCAGAAAGCGAGCGAGGGTCCCCATGACACGAACTCCAGTCTTTCAGAAAGCACAGTCACTGACACACGCTGTGCACATACAACCATACAGGGTAGAGCACTGGCCAGTAAGTAGTTTTTTCACAAGACTTTCGACAAAACATTGTACCAAGCTTAAGAAATGAAGGTGGCACAAATACAATGATCTAATCTAATTCCTAAATCTCTCTTCTTTTGGCTAAAAGAAGGCGGTAGAAATATCAAGAATTTTTTTTTTCTCTATTGATTTACTCTCCCAAAAGAGCGATTATATCACCTTCTCCAACCTCCTATGTAATCCCAGGCCACTGCATTTCACCCAGTAATCCTACCTCAACTTTGTAATTTATGTTTGCGTATGGCCAAAGAACATCTTCCAGCTAGGCTTTGAAGCTTGATCAAAAGACAACAACTAAAGCTGTAAAAGTACTTAAAGGGGGCTTATAAAAAAGATGACAGCAAACTTTTTAGCAGGGCCTGTTGCAACAGGACAAGGGGGAATGTTTTTTAAACTAAAGGGGGGTAGATTTAGACTCGATGTTAAGGAAGAAATTTTTTTATGCTGAGGGTGGTGAAGCACCGGCACAGGTTGCCCAGAGAGGTGGTGGATGCCCCATCCCTGGAAACATTAAAGGTCAGGTTGGACGGGGCTCTGAGCAACCTCATCTAGTTGAAGATGTCCCTGCCCACAGCAGGGGGGTTGGACTAGATGACCTTGAAAGGTCCCTTCCAATCCAAACTATTCTATGATTCTAACTACTTCTTCAGTAGTTTGATCCCAGTCTCACATATAAGTGTGTTCAGTATCAGTTTCTAGTCATTGATTTGTATCATGATCCACTACCTCAGAAGATCCTGAAAGGAACTCAGCATTTTCTCCTCGTAATGCCTCTTGAATCAAGTCACTTCTCGATCCCTGAACAGCTCAAGTAATTCAAATTGCTCTGTAAGTACCCAGCCCTCATTTATCATGCCCAATATTGACAGAGGTAATCCACACACTCTCCAGATGAGCAAAATAAATCAATCAAATCTTCATTAAGCCACTTGAAGGAAGTGCTCTGCCTGACTGTAACATCCAAACCGATAAAAAGTGGTGGGGTTTTTTGTTTTGTTTTTTAAAAAGGAGGAGCTCGGGTTCACTAAAATGTTTTATTGCACATCATAAGCGATGTCTGTGTAACAATGTTATTTTGGTATGTAATTAAAACCAGAAAGTTACTTGACTGTATATAGGTACTCCCATGTGAAAATAAAAGTTCTATTTGAAGACCTAAGGACAAGTGCATACAGCAATATTAATAAACATGTAAGCAGACTAGACTCAATTCATCAGAGCAGCTGTTCAAACATGCAGCACATCTCAGAAAAGTTTTCCAGCGCAAGAATGTGATCTAAGACAACCATTTTTTACTGTAACGTAACAGAAATGTGTGAAAATGTTATTTTGCCCCCCCAAAGCCAGCCCTGAAAAACCCTAGTCCTCTTACAGTGAGCAACAGACAAATCACATTTTTTCCAGGTAAGAGCAAGCAAAAGTTCTTTTCTAAGAAGGGCATCCCAAAAGCTTCATTATTTTAAAGTTTAATTCACTCTTCAACCACAAAAAGTTGGTGCAAGACTCAGGTTGCAAAAGTGGTACAAGATCGTTCAGCAAGTGACAGCCTGGACCACACTAACTGTGTTGAAAAGAAACAACAAAAACCAAACACCACGTAACCTGTAACACAAAGCTAGGAGGCATTACCAACACAGCTCAATACATTTAAATACAACGCATTTCATCAGCATTCGAACTTTCAATTCAACCTAACTGAAGAAAAATTAATACAAATTTTCAGATGTGTTGCAATGACCAGTGAATTACATAAACAGTCATAGTAAATATACACAAAAATGTTAGATTCTGCCTGTTTTGAGGCGCTCACAGCAGCATGTCCTTTAGGGGCCTACATCTTGCCATCGTTACCTACTGAACTCAATAAGCTCTGAAGAATCCTTCCAGGCTTGCACGACGTTGGCCGTGACAAAATACACCACAGTTCAGGAAGAGACCTCCTATTCCCTTTCAAGCAGGGAAGTAACAAACTAATGTTTTCGTTAGCTAGGTTCATTAAAGTATTTGTAATTTCTCTCTTACTTGCTGCCTTTCCCTTCAGTTGTTTAGTTCACCTTTTCGGCTTGTCTTTTACAGAAATTCCTGGTGTACCTTCAACTACATTCCTTTTGGCAATCGCTTCATCTCTCCTCCTCTTTCCCACACAACCACTTGACACTCGCTATGCTGCGATTCGTGTCTCTTCCTATATATTTTGGTTCTACTTTCCTTCTTCCAAGATTTCACTATTTTTAACCTTCCATCCATCTCTAACCTCCCCTCTGATGAAAACCCCATCGCCCGTTTTCGGCACCAAGCCCCGTTTGGCCAGAAGCGAGTCCCCAGTGCTCGGGTCCCCGCAGCGCAGCCCCTCTCCCCGCGTGCCAGCAGGCTCTGCCACAGACGGCGGCGGCTGCAGCCTGGAGCGCAACCAAAGCCATCTGCCTGCGTGTCACGAAGGGTGGTGACACAGCCCATGGCTGAAGCTTCGCCTTTGTTAAACTGCTCTCGTCAACCCCGGCTTGCTGGGAAGTTCAAGGTTACAGCGCTTGTTCAGACAACTTTTGTAAATCCCACAAACGGTGCTTCTCCCAGCTTCTGCACTCAAATTGTTAATATTTCATGAACAAAAGATACATATCGGGGGGTGTGTGCATGTGCACACACGGGGCCGGGGCAGAGGAAAACTGACAAAATGTGGAGGGAGAAGATGTTAATGTGGCTTAAAAAAAAAGAAGAGGTTTTTTTTCTAGTTGTATTTCAAAAATGGGATGTTGGATTATAACTGCTCAAATTTTTTTTGTTTGGCTGGCTGGACTCTTAACAGTCTTGCCAGAGCCAAGGACTGGAAATGTTTTTGCAGTTTATGAAAAGAGTGAAGAAAGCGTTTGGGAATACTGCCTCTTAAAACCTAAAATAATCTACCACTCTTAAGCTCCTGTAAGAAGGCTAGACGTTAAGGTTAGGCATGGAAAGTTTACAGCTCTGCCAGCAGGAAAATAAAAAGCAGGTAAACAGCTTAGCACAGCGGCTGTGTAAAAATTCACTGAGCATTCAAATGTTCAGGCAATGATTAATCTTCCTGCTTTTATATTTTAATCAGTCATGTACATTAAAAACATCAACACAAGGCACATTTTACAACAGTTATAAAATACAACATGCTCTACTTGAGCATGTCTGCAACAAATCCATAAAGATAAGAGATTGTCTTGGCAGTTATAAAAATAATAAATATATTTATACACATATGAAAATCTGCCATAAAACGAATGCGGCCCATTTCTACTAGTAGCAAAATGAAAAGTAACCTCAGTCCCCTCATCTTCATGAGAAGAACATAACTGATCCCATTCCCAATGCTTCAACTATTTCTCAAAGTCAATGGCAGCTACCAAGAGTCTAAAAAAAAAAAAAAATCAACAGATGCCTTTGCCCTTACATACAGTTATCTGAAGCAATGCTCAAAAAATACCTACACTGACGAGTCCCACTCCAACTACCGAGCTTTGTACCTGCTCCGTCTCTCAAACCTGCTGCTTACCTAGCATGCAACAGAACAGAAAAAGGGGGTTTATTTTAAAAGAGGATAGATTCCCGTACCTAATAAGGCACATATGTCTGATTTCAGTGCTCAGGAAGCAGTAGAGCTGACTAAGGCTGTGGAGCCCACCTCGTAGCGTCCGTCTCTCACACAGCACTTCCGATCCTAAACCTCACACCTTCCATTATCTCTGTTACATAAAACCAAACGGCCTCTTAACAGAAGAGAGCCAAAAACCAGAGATAACACGTCTTTCAGAAGGTTTGGAGAAGCACTGGCAACTACAACACCCCCACTCTTTCCAAAGGGGTCCTTTTCTAATTTGAGAATTTTGCGTCCTTTGAGCAGCTATTTTCACACACAGAAGATAACCACACTTGAGACACACTCTCTCCTAATTTCAGTTTTATGAGCTTAAGTGTCACAGTTTTCTGCCTTCCTGGACGACAATTTCAGCAACCAGAATAAGAAAAAAGATGTTCTGTTTCCTTCCAAGCCTTCTCAGAAGAAAAAAAAAACTGTGCTGCGTTCTCAGGTAGAACATTTTCATCTGTATGACTACTTGCAACTGTTATCAGGAGATTCTTTCTTAATATACATATTCAATCAACTAACTTGTTTCAGTGTCACCATTTTTTTCCCTTTAGCTCAGCCCGGAGAGGTGACAAACATTCTAAGGTATTTCTTTACGTAATTTATTATCTCAAACGTATCACACAGCAAGCAGGCAAAGAACTATCAAATTCCGTTTCATTTTTTAACAGCATAATCTCCACTTGAAATGTGACTGGGAATTTTCCTGTCCCAAACTTTGACTGCCCATCCACGGAGCAGACACTGAAGTCACGCTGCAGTCCCAGTACACAAGCAGTATTTTATTTTCACCGTGCCTTTCTTTCATGCCAACATAGCTGTTACATTTCAGTGAGCCCAATTTTGTTTTGTAAGGCTTCTTTCAATCACGCCAGACCCCAGCAGACAAAGCCTCAACAGTTCAGAGCTCCAACCATTCCCTAAAATCCAGTGTCAGGTAACTCAACTCAACAGCCATACTGTTTGGTGCAGTCAGCAATTACCACATCCATCCCAACCTCCTTTCGAGGTTTGAGGATTCTATAATTTATTGTTTCATAAAAGACAATTAGCACATTTAATGTTTTAGAGCAATTAAACAATGCATTCATAGAAAAAAATAAAATTTCCAGTA